AACCTTCCTTCCGAGGAGTGGCTGGTGGGTTTGAACTGCCAGCCATCTGGTTAGCAGGCAAGTGTCTTAGCCACTATGCTACCAGAGCTCCCAACTCAACACATATATTCCACAAAATTCTTTTTAGACCTGGGTAGGTATACAGTCATAAGAATCTCAAAGATTTTCATAATCAAGTTGTAAAGACAAGACAGAATGGGAATTTAAGAATATTAGGTAAGTGACAAAGCAGCAATAATCAACCAATGAACTATTATGGTCAAAGATCATCAGGAGCTCAGAGGAGAGCGAACACTCTGGTCTGAGTCATAGGAGGAGTCTTTGTGGTGAAGCTGGCCGGCGTCTGTGCTCGACCTCGAGAGGTGGCTAGCATTTACCCATGTGGAAAGGAAGAGCTGGAAGCATTCCAGTGGAGAGAAATATGTGAGGTATAAAACCTCCCCTGGGTCCAGGGATTAAGCCAGGCTGGCAGGCACAGGGGTCTACGTAAGAAAGAGTAAAGATCAAACTTAGATGAACCAAATGACTGAAGTTGGAGAACAGAATGGTATTTGTTGACTTTTTTTGCACTAGCTTTTTTATTTAGTAAGGAAAGGAACAATTTAAGGAACTACAACTTTTGTTTTGAAAAGCAACTAGAAAAGTAAGACTACAACTGGTAAGTAAGCAGGAGATAACTATATGGGCAAGGAGGGTAGAAACACTGGGTGTCTATTCTAAAGGAGAAGGGTATGGAGAGCAGAGGAGAGAACTCAAGGGAAAGCCCAGGTCCCAAAGGCTTTGAGGGATGAAGGGTTGGCAAGGTTAATGAAAGAGCTCTGGTCCTGAATGATGGAGGTTATGGAAGCACCATCATTTCTCCACTCATTAGTGCAAAATGCTCCATTTTCATAGTATGGATTTTAGACTACAAATTCTACAGAACCGGTTTAAAAAAAAAAAGAAAAAACCTGTAAGAAAGACTACTCTAGTGCCCAGCTACCACTGTCATCCACTTGGAAGGGATGTAGGAGATCCCGCGTAGAGAGGGAGAACAATGTGGAACAAAACTCAAAATCATTTGGATGAAAAAAAAAAAAAAAAAGGTGGGGACCAGGTTTGCTGGTCCAATAGAGCCTGGTGGAACCACTGAGACTATGGCCCCTAGCTGCCCTTCAGGTCTGGAACTGAACCCACACCTATGGTTTCCAGCCAAACAAAGTACAGGCATATGAGTTAAACATTCACCTCAAGTAGAGACACGCCCTGGAGAGAACAATCATGGGAGAAGAAAGGGCTGCTTATGCACAGGGAGACAGCTCAGGGGGCAGGAGAGTATGGAGGGATGGTCACTGGGAAGAGGTAGCTATGGGGAGGAAGTGGGAGGGGAGCTGTTGCATTGTGGTAAACTGTGGTCAATGACATGAGACAAAGTATATGTGAACTGCTGTATGGAAAGTGAATTCGCTCTGTAAATCTTCACCCAAATCAAAATTTAAAAAAAAAAAAGAAAGACTACTCTATAGGCCCCATCAAGGAAGAATTACAAAGGGGTTTTAGGGTCTTTGGGAGTCAAGGTAAGGAGCTCTGGTAGTGCAGTAACCAAAGCATTTGGCTACTAACCAAAAGGTCAGGAGTTCAAACCCACCAGCTCCTCTGCAGAAGAACAATGAGGCAGTCTGCTTCTATAAAGATTTACAGCCTTAAAAAACCCAATGGGGGTCATTATGAGTCAGAATCAACTGGACAGCAGTGAGTGAGGAGTCAGATTGGTTATCCAAATACAGTAGTAGTCTTTTTATGGCTAGCAGCTGCAACGATTTTTTTCACTAGAAGTAATTATTAACAGAAAAAGCAAATTTCCAACATTCCTATTCCCATCATATTGCACTTTTCATGTAACAATTTAAAAAATGCATATATAATTATTTAGAAAATGGATAAAAGCCAGGTTATTACTGTTAGGTACAGAATTTTTTCAGTGATATTAAAAATAATCTTTCCAGATAGTAATTTCTGTCACTGGGGATAGTGGTGAAAATAAGTCAGTTACAATATGATCAATCCAGACAGTATTGCAGCTCACAGGAAATAAGACAGTACTGGGGAGGGATATGCCTTCTGCCTGGATTTCCTCCCCAGAAGCAAGGTACAAGACCAACTCCTATGGCAGGAAAATTATCTTTCAAGCCCCAAGGCCCTTTGTGGCCCAGATACAACCCAGTTCCCAAGTCTGTAAATGCTAAGATCATGGAGAACATCAAAACTTTCTGGAACTAATGTCTTCATTTTAAACTTACAGATTCTGCAACTTGCAATACACACTCCCTTAACTTGCCTACTAACTTCATCTCTGCTTGCTCTCTGCCTGCTCTCTCCCTTTAAACTAAAAATAATATCCAGTGCCTAAGGCATCTGACTGCTAACCAGAAGGTTCACAGTTCAAACCCACCAGCTGCTCTGGAGAAGAAAGATGGGGCAATCCACTTCCATGAAGATTTACTGCCTGGGAAACCTAATGGAAGTAGCTATGAGTCAGAACAGACTTGAGTGCAGTGGGTTTTTGGTTTGTTTTTTTTTTTAAACTTAGCTGGGCAGACAGTTGTGCCAAACCAAACCAAACCAAACCAAACCAAACCCACTGCCGTGGAGTCGGATCCAACTCAGAGCAACCCTTCCTTGGGCTTCCGAGGCGGTTATCACTACGGAAGTGGATTGCCCAACCTTCCTTCTGAGGAGTGGCTGAGGGGTTTGAACCGCCAGCCTTCTGGCTAGCAGTCAAATGCCTTAGGCACTACGCCACCAGAGCTCCCAGACAGCTGTGCACTACTGAGTAATTCATCTTCATAAAATCCTCAACTTGACATAGAAGCCAACTTTCGATTTTAGATCCTTGGAAAGAGAATCTAGAGCAAATTCTAGCGTTCTGAATGGCTGAACTGAAAATATACAGTAGTTCCTAAAAAAGGGCAGTGGGGTGGGCAGCAAAAAACATTCTGCTCTTACCTTTCACACCCTGCATCCAGATCTTGGCAATCACACAAACAAGCAGCCACGTGGTTCTTTTCCCCATTCCGATCTATGTACTCGCAGCAGCACAGAGGTTCCAATTCAGGCTCTTCGGTTTTCTTTCTTTTCACAGGCTTCAAACTGCCCTTCTGTGCCATGATTTGCACCTGCCACCATGAGGTGTAAGAAGCCCTCTGTAGGTTAAGGTGGAAAGAACACAATTCACATCTTGTAAACACATTCACGCCTCTCTGATTAACCGAGAATGCCTAAACAATCAAAACTGAGAAGGGGGTGGGGGAGTACTCTTTCATCAGGTCTTGTGGCTCAGGTTGTCCAGGCACTGGGCGCGAGGCTCTCAGGGCTCCAGACACTCAGGGCTCGGAGCTGCCTAACCCGCCCTCACCGCCAAGGCAGGCGCCGTCAGGGCACCACCGTTCCCATGGTAACAGCCGACCACACTGCCCGAACCAGCGCGGGCGGCTACGCTCACCTGCGGGTGCCAGCAGGGGAAGGCCAGCTGGCTCCGCCCGTATCGTGGGCGCAGGTGGAAACTCACCCCCGGGTCTGTGGAGATGAACTATGCGTGTGCCCGCTGGCGCCGGCGCCCCGGCTCCGAGGAGGCCACCGGGCGGCCGGGCAGTGCTGAGTCGCAGTCCAGCCTGCTCGCCCTGCCCGCCAATCCTGAGGACGTGGACCTTGGAGAATGACCTTGGAAGAGAACTTACCTGCCCTCCGGGCGGACGTGCGGTAGCAGGCAGAGAGGCTCAGGAGGAAGGTGGACTCCGGCGGCGTGGACGTGTCTCCCGATCTCTGTTCCGCGGGCTCCGGGCGTGACTGCTGAAGTCGCAGTACCCAGCTCTGCTCGGCCGCGCCCTGCCCACCTGTGACCACAGGCCCAGCGCGGCCGGGGCGGCGCGTCCCCCTCCCGCCGCCGTCCTTGTGGCCCCAGCCCCGCTCCCCGTGGAGTCCGAACGCTTCCGGGTGCCCCGCCCCCGGAGCCGGGATCTCCGCCCCGCCCGCCGCACGTGCGGAGCCCGCCGCGAGGCCCCGCCCCCGGCCCGCCCACAGCCGATTTCTTCCTCGCCCGGATCAGCGCACGACCCGGAGGGTACAGAGACTGAAATCCCGGAAACACCGGGACCAGGCGATTTCCAACCCTGTGAGACCTGCGGGTCGCTAGCCTTCATTCAGACGCCGGTGACAGGGATTGGGGGAGAGCTCCATCGCAAAATGTTACCAAGGGACCTCTCCCAAATTTGCTGCCCTCCCCTTAAAGGCCTATCCCAGCTGCCTAAACTGTTAATTTATTCCACTTGTTCATTCTCATGTTTTCTGCCGACCAGTACCTACATTAGACCAGCAGGTATGTCTCGGGCTGTAGTTTCAGCAATCTGCGTATTTGATATGTAATCACCCTAAGAAGAAAGTCCTCTTTGTGTTTTATATTTGCACAAAATTTTAAAGCATGTAGTCCCATGTGAAGGAAAAAAACCTCATCAGGACTGGAGGAAGATTTATGAACTGTGAGATGCAGATGATGCAACCTTGCTTGCTGAAAGTGAACAGGACTTGAAGCACTCATTGATGAAAACCAAAGACTACAGCTTTCAGTATGGATAACTTTTAACATTTAACCATTAAAAAAAAATCCTCACAACTAGATCTGCAAGCAACATCAGCATAAATGGAGAAAAGATTAAAGTTGTCAGAAATTTCATTTACTTGGATCCAGTCAGAGCCAACGGAAGAAGCAGTCAAGAAATCAGCCGACATATTGCACTGGGCAAATCTGCTGTGAAAGACCCCTTTAAAGTTAAAAAGCAAATATACTACTTTGAGGAGAAAGGTGTACTTGACCCAAGCCATAGTATTTTCAGTTATCTCATAGGTATGCAAAAGCTGGGCAATGAATAAGGAAGATCAAAGAAGTGATGCCTTTGAATAATGGTATTGGCAAAGAATATTGAATATACCATGGACCACCAGAGGAATTAAAAAAAAAAAAATCTGTGTTGGAAGAAGTACAGTCAGAATGATCCTTAAAAGCAAGGGTGGGAAGGCTTCCTCTCACATACTTTAGATATGTTATCAATTGGGACCACCCTAGAGAAGGATATGCTTGGTAGACAGTCAGTGCTAAAGAGGAATACCCTCAAAGAGATACAGTGACACAGTGGTTGCAACGCTGGGCTCAAACCTAGTAGTGATTGTGAAGGTGGCACAGGATCGGGCAAGGTTTCGTTCTGTTGTACACAGGGTTGCTGTGTGTTGGAATCAACTTGAGTATGGCACCTAAGATAACATAGGCATATGTACACATTGCAACAAAGTAGCCTTTCTGTTTTGGGGGGCGGCAATCTACTTCGATAGAGATACTTTCTGTGGTTTAGTAAATTACTTAGTGTGGCTTTTCTACCCATAAGTCTTTGTAAACTCCAAGGTGGAATTTGCCATGAGCAACTGAGGAGCTCCTGATTGCTAAAGTTGTCCACCTGGGGTACTTCTGTTGGGAGGGCACTAAACAATGTTGTGGGAGGTTCCTGCTCTCTCTCAGGTGTTTAGAATTCTGTTGTTATGATTGGTTGGTTTGGCTACTCTGCCAGGCTCAAAAGGAGGCCTCCTAGAAGCAGAACTCTCTCTGACTGCTGGTTGAGGAAAACGTGCTGCTGACAGAGACATGCACTCCTGAAAGAGACACAAGAGATATGAATTGCTGACAGAGACACCAAGGGACATGCACTGCTGGGAGAGAGACTGTGAGAGACTGTTGGTTGAGACACGGCAGGCTGGGAAAGAGACTAAGCATTTTTCCTGAACTTGAATTGTAGCCTGGTGCTTCCCTAATAAATCCCATAATCTGTGAGTTCTGTGTGGCCACTGCAGTGAATTATCGAACCCAGGAGAGAGATTGGTGGGTGCTTTGGGAGGAACGGTTGGTGAAAGGGCTGGAGGGAGGCAGCATGTCTGGCCCTGCAGGAATAGGCCTTGGGTTACTGACAGTGACTCTGTCTTCCTCTTGTGGGGTTAGAGGAGGTCAGGAGATGTGGCCTCCTTGCCCTTTGTGCACCGCCTCAGAAACCCAAGGTGGGATCCAACTCGATGGCAGTGAGTTTGGTTTGGTTTGGTTTTTAAGCAGAAAAAAAAATACCACTCAGTCTTTTTCAATTTTATTGATATTTAATTTTCATAACAGCTTCCAATTTTATTAACTGAATTCTAAATACATACATATTTAATCTTATTTACAAAGTAATTCACTTTGGTCATTTTCTTTGAAGTATTTATGAAATATAATCTTTCATTTTGAGGAAACCACAAAAATATTCAGCTTGTCAATGATCATCTCATGAACTTAACTGAGAACAAGATTTCAAGTTTACAGTTCAGTCACTGTTGTTCACAGCCAGACACTTCTTAAATCGTTACAAAAGAACACCCAAGTGGGTTATGTGAGATTCACCCAGAGAAACCACTGTCTCTAATCTAGTCAATATACTTTCATCCTTTACAAGCATCTCAAAACAAACTTTAGCAATCCCATGTGGCTTTGGTGACTCTGAAAAATAAGGAAACACTTAACTAAAAGCAATAGGTGTTTCTAAGAATATATACAAATTATTCTATACTATTTCTTATTCCACAGAAGGATCTCAAGAGTTTATTTCCCAAACGAACTCCTAACTCTGAGAAAACAGATCTGGTTTTAGGTTAGTTTACAAAGTCCTTATTTTCAGAAGTCACTTATATTGAGACATATAGGCAGCCCTGTTGGCGTAGTGCCTAAGGCATTTGAATGCTAATCAGAAGGCTGGCATTCAAACTCACCAGCCACTCTGCAGAAGGAAGATTGAGCAATCTACTTCCATAGTGATACTGCCTCAGAAACCTAAGGAGGGGACACCATGACTCGATGGGAGTGGGTATAGACTAAAAACCTTTTATGAAAGAGCCAAAGCTTGTGGCTGGTTTACAACTTCAAAGTCAGTGCAATTGTATTGGACATACATGTCCAAAAAGTTTCTATTAAATAGCTAGAGCTTGTGTCTGGCTTATAACTTATCAACTAAAACAAGCCACATATTTATATATAAAGAATGCAGCCATACCTGGCTACTGAAATACATAAATTATCTTCACATTCACCACCTGCTAAGCTGAAGCCAAGCTTAGTTCAAGTATTCATTATTTGTCACTAATTGCCCAGATTTTAAAAGTCTTTTGGTTTTTAAAACTTAGAACATGGTTCTTCATTTTCAGTGACTATGTCCTACATATCCCTTTTCCTAAACTGGCTCTTCTGCTATTTGATGTATAAGGGGAAAGATATCCTCACCCCTGATAGCTACCTTAAGAAAAAGCAACTCTCTTTCATAAAGATACAAGTAGGCTGAAGAACCCTTCAGATACATAATCATCAACATGCAGATTTACAAGATTTGACTACTGAATGTGCATGCTAAATAAATGAAGACACACAAACCTACAAGTGTTTTGATATAAGCCTGAAAAAAATCCTTTAAAATTAGTTTTTCAAGGTTTTCTTCATGTATTGGGAGGTTTCTTCTTATATTATCCTCTTTAGCCTCCTGAACATGTCTCAATTGTAAAAGCCATCTATGGAAAAGCACTGATTCTGCACTAACAGGTAAAGCATCAAACCTGAAACTTCACATAGAAATGGGGCTGCACCATTCAATTCAGGGTGCCTCATTTTCTTATATCACAGAAACGCAACTCCATAACAGATCTCATGGATCACTAAAGAAATTCACAGCTTAGAATTATGTGTAAAAAGTGAAAGGATGGATTCTTAAGGCTATATATATATAACCAATTATCAAATAAATGCTATTGAAAAAAATATTCATATTAGAAATGCCAATAATGAGAAAACAGAGGAATGTGCCTTTGACAGTTAAAATCCTTCATCAGTTGGTTTTCTTCCAGATGTCTTCTTTTGATTCCTACTGTCTCTGTGGCTTCAGTCCTTAAGATCACTGGCTTTCGACAGCCATGCCCGTCTTGTTCTTATTTAGTAGATCAAAGGTTCTCTGAAGCATAACAAGTGAGCTCTTCAACTGCAAACAAAATTCATATTGAAAATCAGATTTTTTTAAATATTTCTGATTATTTTTACACCAAAATTTCACATTACATTTAATATAATTGTTTTATACTGATGCCCAAATAAAAGACTGAAAGTAAAACACCTGATTCCTTAGTGTATCTGTTGGTATAACTGCTAAAAAGTTCTTTCCACTTGCTGGAGCACTGCACTTCTTCCTACGAGGTACTGCTATACATTCTGCCTCCCTTAGAGCCATGAACAAAATTATCCAAAGTGAAAGGCTTGTTTTCTAAAAGGGTTTATGAAACTGTAGTGGTCTTCTCACTATCCCCCAAACAACTTTCAGGCCTTTTGCTTCTATGATGCTCATGTTCCTCTTTACTTTTCTAAAATTTACCGAACCCTACTGTCTCCATGCAGTTTTTCTTCATCACCCTGCCTCAACTCCTAAAGCATTATTCTTACTACTAACTTTGATGCTTACTTTTTTTTTTTGATGATTTTCTAATCTTTAACAATACACGTGGGCATTTGATTTCCCTAATAAAATTAAAAGCAACTTGAGGACAAGAATTACATCTCATTCATTTTTGTATTCATTCATTAACAAATATTTATTGCTACCTCTTATATGCCAGGCAGTGTCCTAAGCACTGGATAAACCATGAACCGAATAGGCACCGCCCCTGCCTTCACAGAGTTTATGGACTGGTGAGGGACACAGAAACAAAATGAATAATCACATACTTAAACAAATACCTACACATCTTATTGTTTGGCTTGAGCAACTGAAGATGGTAATATCAAATGAGGACAATAAGAGGAGAATTAGGTTTTGGTGTGGGAGGAAAACTGAATTCTGTTTTGGGCATTATGTGATCCCGATGCCTGTCAGCATCTGGATGATGGAGCAGACCTGAAAATGTCTAGTCCAGATGAAAAAGCCAAGGAGGCAAATGACCATGAGCTGAGCTCAGTGCTGAGAAATAAGAATGTAAGAGTCACTGGCACCTGTGCTATTTAAAGCCATGGGAGTGGATGAGATTACCTAGAGGGAGAGGAGAGGAGAAGGGAGGAGAATCTAACACAAGCCCAGAGCACTGGGCGAGGAAGAGGTCAGACAGAGGAGATGGTCTTAACCATTATGCTGAGCGAGGGAAGCCAGTCACAAAACGTCACATATTATAAGAAATATCCAGAATAGGCAAGTCCATAGAAACAGAAAACAGATTAGTGGTTGCCAGGGGCTGAGGGGAGGGAAGAATGGGAAGTAACTGCTGATGGGTACAGAGTTCCTTTTGGGGTTGATGAAAATGTTCTGGAATTAGATAGTGATGATGACTGCTGACTGTACAACCTTGGGAATACAAGAAAAACCACTGAATCCTACACTTTAAAAGGTGAACTGTATCACAACTCAGGTTTTTCTTCTTCTTTTTAATGGTTTTAAGAAGGCAAGATTAGATGGTACTTCAAGAGGGAATGGTAAACTCTGTCTAATGCTGACCCTGTAAGATGAAACCTAAAAAAAGGTACATTGCTTCTATAAGCCAGAAGTCACTGGGGACCTTAGAGCACTATCAGCTGAACCGTGAAGGAATAAACTCAGGTAGGAGTGAGCTGAAGAGAGAATGAGTGGATTGAATACACACACTCAACTTTGCTTCCTTCTGAAACCTCACTGAACACATAGTAAAGGGATGTTTTTTAAAAGCACAAACAAGGCTGGAGAGAACAGAAACGGTGACAACAGCAACACAGCTTCAGACACTGGAAAGCAATGCAGATGGCAGAGCAGACGTGGAAAAGCTGAGTCCTAAGATAACAGTGAAACTGAGAACAAGGTTGACTCTGAAGAGTCCTCAAACACCTCAGGGATCGAGGGTCAGGAACCTCTAGAAGGGAATAAAGATGGAGGGGCCAAAATAAGAAGGGTTGATATAACTTTGGGCACCTACCCTCTCTTCCTCCCTAGGCAGAAATATGATTTTTTTTTTTCCTGGAGAGGATAAAACAGAGGGTCTCCAGTTTGGTGGGATAGCAGACATTGCTACAGACAATAGTACCATATCAAAAACAAGAGGACAGTATGAAAAAATGTATTCTGAATGTTGAGGCCATTCCTTCTGCCCTGCTCTCCCCCAGCCCTCTTCCTTCACTCAGTTCCTAAAACCCAGCCCTTAAACTCTCAGGAAGACTGGAAGGGTCTTTTCTGTGGAAACTGACCAGCCCGAGAGGAAAGACCTAGAGATAATATATCAGGATTTCTCATCCAACAGACTAGATAAACCTACAGAGAGGTTCAGACTACACGGCCCTATCCTCTAAGAAGACCTTCTGATCCACATAAGCAGACCACCAAAGATTAAAAGAAGCTCTGGTGGCGTAGTGCCTAAGGCACTTGACTGCTAACCAGAAGGCTGGTGGTTCAAACCCACCAGCCACTCCTTGGAAGGAAGGTTGGACAATCTATTTCCTTAGTGAATATCGCCTTGGAAACTCAAGGAGGGGTCGCTATGAGTTGGGTTCGACTCCATGGCACATAACAACAACAACAGCAACAACCTGAAAGATAAAAATCAAAACAAGAAAAAGGATTTTGATGGAAAGTGAGTATACAAGACAAGAATAATATTCAACTATCAGTATGGCATCTTCTTGCAAATAACATGTACCTTCAATGTTTGCTAGCCAACTGCTCCCTCCCCTCAAAAGGTATTTAGTAAGTGCTGTATGCCAATTCTTTTTAACATGTTACTATTAAAAAAAAAAAAAAAATAGCACAGCACATTTACAAAAATACCTGGGGTTGGGGGAAAGGGAGCAACTGGCAAACAAACAGATGCCCAGTGTTATTTGTGAAGAAACACAGTAATCTGCTCAGAGAGATAACGTAAGATAGTACAGCCATTAAAAATGACCAAAATGCCATAAAAAAATAATAACAATTCAGAGAAATAATAGCTATCTTAAGTTAAAAACTGGTTAACAAAATTTGAAAATTCAATGGAAGAATTTGAAGATAAAGTTGAGGAAATCTCCCAGAAAGCAGAAAGGCAAAGAGATGAAAACTACAAAGAAAAGGTAAGATTAGACAACCAATAAAATTGTAGGCAGACATCTGAATAACAGGAGTTGCAGAAAAAAGGGAAAGACAAAATTCAAGAAAACTTCCCAGCACTAAAGGGTATGAATTTCCAGATTAAAGGATCAAGAATGGTAATGGCTTCAGAATTTTCAGTAGTAATACTGCAAACCAAAGACAATAGAGCAATGCCTTAAAAGTTCTGAAGGAAATATTTTTGCAATTTAGAATTCTATTCATGGCCAACACATTAATCAAAGGGAAGGGTAAGATAAAAAATATTCTCACAGGTAAAAGTGTTAAAGTATTTACCTCCATACTCCCTTTTTTAAGAAGCTATTAGAGAGTACATAGATGTATAAAAGCCCATAAGGTCACAGTTACTAAGATTTCCTAGACAAATCCAAGCAACTCATGGAATTAGTTCATTAGCTCAGTCAGGATCATAGCTTTGTGGAATAATTTAGTCAATTGGCCTAACACAGTTCATAAAGTTAACCATTAGTTTGGTGAGTAGCACCTGGGTTCTTAAAAGTTTCCATGTACGCATCTAAGATACAACTATTAGTATCTACTCATCTGGAATAAAAGAGAATGAAGGAAATCAAACTCAAGGAAGAAACTAGTCCACAGGGCGCAAAACCTACATGGACAATGGCCTCTTCTAATCTGAGACCAAAAGAACTAGATGATGCCCAGCTACCACTACCAACCACTTTGACACAGTACAAGATCCTAGTTAGAATGGGAGAAAAGTGAGTTCCAGTAAGATGGTGGAATAGGGAGAAAGACTGCACAGACCCTCTTCAACAAAGAAAAGGGGAACCAATTGACACAGATATAGAAGATAACCCTGGACCCCCGAGCCTTGAAGGGAAGGATACAGAAGCGGACTAAACTCCAACTACCAGAAGAATTTGCATGAAAACACCAAAAAAGGAGACGTACGGAGCTGTGGTCTGGCAGCAATCCTGACAGAACAGACAGCTTGGATATTGCCAAGTGGTGGTAGGACCCTAGAATTAACCTAAAAATCAGCCCTGCTAGCCAGGGACTGCACAGATGACTGCTCTAGTGGGTGGGGAATAAAAGGGGAAGCAGCGAAGAGGAAGGCGAGCTGAGCTGTGGACTTTTGCCTGTCCAGAGAGCGTAGTCATTTTGAATGTTTACAAGCGGCTTGAGCATTTTGGATAATTAAACTGACAGTGTTCTCCCAGATTCCAGGAACTTAAGAACAGGCTCTGATAGCTGGGAACCACAAGGCCATTCCAGAAGTACATACTACTGGAAAGGTGCGACATTCCCCTTGTTATTCTTATATCTCACACCCTCTTGGTGAACAGAGGTGTGGCCATCCCTCACTCCCACCCACCTTCTGTGCCAGCAGGAATTCCATCCCATTCTGTGCTTGGACAGAGCCTGGATGCCCTGTGCTGCCCTGATTTTTTTTTTTTCTTTTTTCTGTTTTTTAGTTTGGTTGTTTTAAAAGTAAAAGAGAATGAAGGAAACCAAACTCAAGGAAGAAACTAGTTCACAGGGCGCAAAACCTACATGGACAATGGCTTCATCTAATCTGAGACCAAAAGAACTAGATGATGCCCAACTACTACTACCAACCACTTTGACACAGTACAAGGTCCTAGTCAGAATGGGACAAAAGTGAGTTCTGGTAAGATGGTGGAATAGGCAGAAAGTCAGTTTTAAAACTACTATTATTATTATTACTTTAGTCCTTTTCACTATTATCCTTTATTCTTCCCCTCCCAGGTTCTAGTTTTCAGCTTTTTTCCTTTTCCCTGTTCCTGGTTGCAATTTTGTTTTTCTTTCTCATGGTTAACCCCATACCTTGATTTCCTTTTTGCATTTTTCCCATTTTTTTCTTCATTATTCTCCTTCTCTATGTTTTTTTCTTTTATTGCCCTCTC